TCCAGGGCAAAACCGATTATATATTTGGATAGGGCAAGAAATGCGCTTCAGAACGGTATGAAACTTGCAAAAATCTAGTCGCAAATAACATCGCGGCGAGCATTTGAAAATTGGGCGTCAAGAACCGCAAGAACTTTCTTCACGACCTAATAGATTCAATATGGACCAAAAACCATATGGAATCAGAAAATACTAGCAATTTGAAGCGGAAGACAAAGAACACCTCGCACTGTATACTGCTATCCAACACCCACTTTTGTAGCACGTTTCAACCAGGGTTTCGTTTGAGAGATAGTAAGTAGGCTAAAGCCAATCCATTTCCACTTCAACCTGCACAACCTTGAGCAAATTCTTACATCCTTTCCGAAAGAAGATATGTTTCTATTTGTTGTTTTTGTTAAGTGCAGTTTTTCCGAGGAAGAACGCGATACGGCAGTGTCTCAGGTATCGCAAGCAACAGCTCAAAATGGCATGGTATCAGTAAATTCGAGAACGTGAGCAAGCCCCTCCGAGAATATGGGTATCCCAATGACTTACAATCCATATGCAAAACGTACCTGCTCAGGATGCTGTAGGCGGCATATTGGAGTCAGGCTAATTTTTAATATTTGCATGGTTCTATGTATTTGAAAGCCATGGCGTTACATGAAAAGTTTCGCAAGTTGGAAAACTACGATGTCTTCACGTAGTTTTCATGATCGGCCCATTTATAATATCCTGCAAGTGGGTCTATATCTGGTCAGTGTAACCTTTTTTGGCTACATAAGGTTCGTAATCTCATCATAACCAGTATTTGCCTTTTTTCAAGTATTCAATAGTCGGTAGTGGTCAAAGTGCATAAAAGTCAGAGAAGCTGTTAGAGTCGTTTTGGGTCTTCCATCTAACAGCTGCATTCCGTGTGTGTCTATTCTTCAAGAATGCTGGTATAGTATCAATGCGAAGAACGCTGAAGAAAAGTAGGGGAAGTGGGGAAGGAGTAAGAGCTTGGAATCCCAATTGAGAACAACAATTTTCTTTTCAAATATCCGTGATGACACTAACACCATGCAAAACAAAAAAAAAAAAAACGTCAGCTGTCGAGAAGAAAAGTAGCTGGCACTTCAGATACAAGTCAATCTCAGAAGTTGGTGGTATAAGCTGAAAAAGAATAAGACAAATTACTAGAAGTGCAGGAATGATGGTATGTGACTACTATGTATATAAGGTCAAGGGTGGAGAAACGGAACGAAACAATCAATTGCTATCAATGATAACGTTTCGCGTGCCTAGCAGTTGAAGCCTCACTTCACGATAGTTTTGAAAAACCCATGTAAAATGAAAGCGGGAGTGTTGGTGAGGAATGGTGCGTCGATTGCGACGAGAGCAAAAGAAAAAGGCAGAATTTCTGGATATCAGGCCTTTTCGAAGTAGTGAAAAAGGGGAAACACATGAAAACTGCGACGGAAATGCTATGTAAGGAGGTTTGGAGCGAGGGATGAAATTACTTGATTTGAACATCTCATAATTGTCTTGCAATGTACAACTAAGAGGCACTGCCAGTTTATAGCATGTCAAGATTATTGTGAAGGCAAATGCTATGGAAGTAGAGCTAACGCCATTTTGAGGTTGACATTTCTCTGAGATATTTTATTTACCAAAAAAAACGACGTTTTCATCAATTTTCCTTGATGAGTCCACAAGTGAACGTACACCTCATTTTGCTCAAAGTGTCCTGTGGCTATGAGTGTTCATCAACGAGAGGGGTCCACTGGAACGATCCATGAATGATTTTCGAACTGGACTAAACGCGCGGCAGCGCACTCCACACTCTGGGCTGCATGACCCATGTGCATAGTCGAGGGAATTAGTGGTTATAGGGAACATTATAGTATGTCGATAGCATAGCGGATAGAGATG